GCAACGCAGGCAGGACACGTCAAGCAGCTCGGTGCCTCCAGCCCGGCCGGTGATTCCCCCAGGGCCGCTGGCCGAGCCCTCTCCTCCCGCCTTCGTTGCTCAGCCCCGCTGCCAAACTCAGGGTCAGGGCACCGAGCTGAGCTCAGCGAGGGCCCGACCGAGTTCAGCCACGGCAGCAGGACATGGGTGCTGTCACCCACACACCGATGCCCTTCTTGATGCACGACCCCCATCTGGTTTGGGTGGCACTGCAAGAGCTCTGTCACCGTAACCGGTCACCAGAGCAAGGGATCTCAGCTCCCCTGCAGCCAGCATGAGGCTTTTGTGGGTGACAACGTGGGATGGGGGGGGAACGTGGGAGGTGGGAGCATGGACAGCAATGGGAGTGTGGTGCTTGGGCATTTAATGGGGACCCAAGTCTCCATCAGCCTTTCTGCCATCAAGTGTTTTGAAGGGCAAAACTTACCCCCTCCCAGATATAACACAGACACCAAGGGAGATCCCCCAAGACACGTGACTAAATAAACAAGTAAAAGAAAAAAGAAACCACAAATGCTAGGCAAAAGAAAAAAAAAAAAAAGCAAAGCAGCTGGGCTGCTCAGACAGACTGGGATCAGAGCACAGCTCTGGAGCTGCTGTACGCAGCACAAACCAAGGGCTGACCAAGGGACGGGGTTTTCAAGGCCACGTCCCCGTTAACGCGGTGTCAGGGGCAATGCGGATGACAAGCCATTGTTCTTCATGGGCCAGGCCGTGTCCCCATGACGAGGGACGGATGCTGCGTTCTCACGGTGCCCAGCACTACAGGGCCTCAACGCCTGAGCGGGATCAAGGGGTACCGTAGCCATCCTTGCTCCTTCACCAGCAAACCCCGGCCCCCCTGGGAGCAGCCTAATGATGGGCTCTCAATAAAAAGACCTGAAATCCTGCCCAGAAGCAACTTAAATGAGACTCTTCCTCGTGGTTATGTTTTAACGGCTAAAATGAGTTCAGACCTGGAGTTTGTTGGCCCTGCAGTGCCTGGCTGTTTTCTCTGAAAGCCCCTGCCATCAGGGCTGAACAAAAGGTTGCACCAGGTTTTCACAGTCTCAGGAAGAGGCCAGTTCTGGGTCACCATCACGGATGACACAACCTTAAATCCCCAGGCGAGAAGCTGCAGCACACCAGGCAGCTCGGCTACCCGCACACCGGGATCTGGGCGAGAGCTGGGGCAGGACTCCCTTGGCCCTCCTTACAGCTCCTAAGTACCAATCTCTTAAAATAAGCTTTGTGAGAGCCCTGAAATCCTGCTGTATTTATGCCTCGAGCTCTGCATCACCCACAGTGATGACACAGAAACCACCATGCACAGCAGGATGCACGAGCTGGGTGTGGATTCTTCCAGCCCCATTAGCCAGGCAGAGCCCCGCCATTAAAGACCAAGTAATTAGCCTTTGCGTCATTTGCGGGCAAGCCTTGCTGTTTGGAGTGTCACATTTTAAGGCTAATTAGCAACGAGGATTCTCCTCTACCAAAGGCTTGGAGCCGGTTTCCTTGTTTTGTTCTTTTTCGGTCTGTCTTGGCAATTAGTTATTTCAGCTGCAAACAGGAGTTGTCACAAGCAGGGACAGGAGGAGGGATCCTGGACACGAAGAGGCTTCCAGCATGGCTGGCCATGGGCCTGCTGGTAATCCACGGATCCATCTCACAATAGTCCGGAGGCCAGACTAAGGCCGTGCTGCCGCAAGGGACGAGGTGGCCCTGGCACACCCACGCACCCCCGTGTCCCTTGTGTCCGGAGCAGCGAGCCCCGGCAGAGCTCATCCTGCTGGAAGCTGAACTCCAGCTCTGTTTTTACAGACACACAGGGGACATTGGGGGCACCAAGGATGCTCCGGTCCGCCGTGCAAACACACTGGGGTCCCCACTAGGCTATGAGATACGGAGGAGTTTGGATGCGAGACTGAGCTGGGACCCACAGCTTGGCTGACAGTGCGGGGTACCCAGGGAAAGGATCAGCAATCCCCCAAGCGATCTTAGTCAATAAAGCGAAGCTGTTCTCAAGCATTGCTTGCAAACAGGAGAAAGCACCACAGCCAGAGTTTGCACGTGTCTGATGTGGGAATGCATCCATGGAAACAGCAACCGGTGGCAAATCCTGCAGAGAGCAGAACGGAGTGCTGAGGGACGGGCACCGGCTGGAAGCTGCAGCCTGAGGGGGTCTGCATGGGGGGGGGTTGGATGTTGACAGCCCCGAGAATCCCTCTGGACACACAGTGCCCAAAGTACAGGCACGTAAATCCAAAAACGTAACAGTGTATGGAGCATTGGGTTTCACTGGCTTTATCCTTAAACTAGCTGATACAACGGGGGGAAGCATCTCTGCATGCGGGCACGAACGCACCAACCACATAGAAAGGCCTGAGGTTTCTGTGCAGGTGCATCACGCTGTGCCCAGGTCCAAGGCAACACACCGCGGCTGTGTCCCTGGGGGCAAGACAAGCCCTTGGGACATTCATGCCTTAGCGTACTGGGGCCCCAGCCAAAGCATTGCACGGGTCCTGCCCACACTTCCCCAGGGCTACGCAAAGAGAGGTGTGTGGGCTGCACTCACTTTTCCCGGAAGGTCTCCTTCTCCTGTTCACTCCACATGTTCATCACCTGCCGGTCCTTGTAGACCTTCATGGGGTCATCCATGAGGCCATTCATGTTGATGAATTTAATGCGCTGCTGGTCAGCATCGTAGAGCATGGGCGGGATGACAGCGAGCTGGCGCATCTGCTTCTCCAGGTTCTTTGGGGAAAGCAGAGAACAGTTGGTCAGCACCATGGGCCCGCGGGGACCACAGGGGACAGATGTTCGAGAGGAAAGGACAGGCGGAGGAACAGGAGAATTCAAAAGCAAGCACTAGACAGCTTTATTGCTAGAGTAATTGTAAATTAAATGCTGAAAGAGGCTATCGCTGTCAGCCAGGAAACAATTAATCTTTCATTTTGAAATAAAAGGCTTTAAGATACCGCGTGGAAATGTCTGACTTAAGCAAAACAGCTCCTGACCATGATGAAAGACAAGTCAAAGCAGCAGTGGCACAGGGGATGCAAACCCCCTCCCAGCCATCAAACCCACGGCCACGTGGAGGTTCAGCCCCCCACCCCAAATTGCGAGGGAAGCGGGTAAGCTCTGCAAAGCTTTCTGAAAGGGTGGGCAGAGGGAGACGTCATGTTTCCCTTCCACAGGACATCTAATATTGTTCCAGGAGGTTTCAAACATCACCGTAACGGGGCCATCATTCCTTTCTTTCCTCTTACTGCAACACCTGGGACATAATCTGATGCCTTTACTCCATCCTATTCAAGTGTAAAGTTCATCCAGTGGCCCAGCTGCACACCAGACCAGGACAGACTGGGCACACTGGTTTCCTTAAGTATTTGCAACAGAGTGGCCAATGTGATGTCTCATTTGTGCTGTCCCCTGCCTGAACACCACGACTGTCCCTTCGGCTGAGCTGCTGGTGGTCCCCCAGCACAGGTCTGCCCTGCGGGGATGAAGGGATGCTCTGGCCACCCTCTTCTGTTTGCTAGCTGCACCATCACTCCAAGTCTTCCCTGTCACCTGGGATGGCACCGGTCAGACATAAATTCCAACCCTTGACCTAGGAAGGCCGGGTCTCAAGTGCTGTCATTTTTATTTACAGCTAGACGCTGGTTCCTGGGAGAACAGGAATGTCCAATCCTTCCAGCAAGCTGCCGACCCAGGCCTGCCCAGCACCGCTCTGCTTCCCCGCTGCGACCGAGCAGACCCAACCTCCTCTTCTTAAAAGACAGCTCTCTGCACAGACACGGACGTTTCAACTCATTTCATGACGTTCCTCATCCTCACTAAGACGCCTCCCATTTAGCAACTGGCTGCTTCAGATGCCCTGGGGGTGTCATCTCATCGTGGGAGGTCAGGGACAGCTTGCAGCCACAGCATCACCCCGGACACCCGCAGACCGCCCCAGCCGAGAGGAGAAAGCCCCTGTGCAGAGCCACGGCAGGCGCAGGGGCAGCTGGCAGGAGCATTGCTTGCAGCTGAGAGTGCAGGGCATCTCCCTTCGCCTGGCAGGGTCTCGGGGTGCCGAGCGCTGCAGATACACCCCGCCTGCGGGCAGCCAGACCTCTCCCTTCTCCAGCAATGTGTTGGGGCGGAGAGCTGGCCCCTGCCGCCAGCGATGCTCCCCGGCTCTCACCTCCCTGCTCCTTCCAACCCTGTGGAAGGGCTGGAAGCTCTTAAGGTCTCCTCTGAGACAAGCAAAGCAGTGCTTCGGGGCTCAGCAGAAGGCTATCGGGGTGGAGTTTAGCAGCACACTGTGCAGGAGGTCGGAGGCAATCGTCTAACGCTCCCCTTGGCCACGACCTCTCCAGAGCTGTGAAATTCCCCTCTGCTTCCGAGATCCGCGTCCTCCGGATCGTCGCCTTAACTGGCTAACAGCAAACTGCCTGGGACGCAGGGCAGGGAGCGAACCGTGGTGCAGAGGCAGCAAACATCTCAGCTATTGCTGGGCAATGGCTGCTCTCC